ATGTGTACAACAGGCACTTAATCCATACTTTCTGTACAAAGCAGGCTCCTGATTCCTGCTCGCAGGTCACACTATGTGTCTGCTGTACGCGCCCAACCCATGTGGAATTCACTCATGTTTTCCTCTAGACTTTTGCTTTTCGGTTCCACACCTAGATCCTGGCCTCTGGGATTCTCCTGTTGTGTGGAGTAAGGAAAGGATCAAGTTCATCCCTTTGCCTGTGACTTGGGGACTCCTCTTACCTTATACTACAGCCCTGTATGTGTGTGGCTCTGTCTCTAGACTCTGATTTATTTTGTGTGTCTGGAATTTCCACCTCCTCCTTGGCCTGTCTGCTTGCTCTGTCAGTGCCAGCCCCGCTGTGAGTCATGGGGGCTGGTTCCGCCTCCCTTCTCTACTGCTTCATGTTTCCTGCTGGGTCTTGCTCATTTCTTCTTTTAAATGACCTTGACTCGATTCAGTTATTTATTTATTTATTTATTTTAAAATTCTGGGACTATGTTAAGTGTGTGAGGAACAGGAGCAGATGCCCCAGGACAGGTAGGAGTCTGAGGACTGTGTGTTTGGACATCCTTCAGGGGTATTTGTTTGTTTGGTTGGTTGTTTTTGTTTTGTTTTGTTTTGTTTTGCAGTACTGGGGTTTGAACTATGGGCCTACACCTTGAGCCACTCCACCAGCCCTTTTTTTGTGATAGGTGTTTTTTCGAGATAGGGTCTCATGAACTATTCACTTGGGCTGGCCTTGAACTGTGATCCTCCTGATCTGCCTTCTGAGTAGCTAGGATTATAGGCATGAACCACCAGTGCCCAGCTTCAGGGGGTATTTTTGAGTATTCGTCCTAGAGTTCTGGCCACTCCTTAAAGTCATCCCAAGCCATCTTCCTTAGCTCTTTATGCTGGTGTGAACAAATCTTTTCACTTGTTTCTCCTAAGTGGTTTCGTTTTATATATAAAATTGTCCATTTTCTTTTCAAGGTAAGATTTTCTTCCTATTGTAACATGTCTTACAGAAAAGTTCCCAAGTCACAAGGGCACAGTTCGAGGAATGTCCCATACAGCGAGCACCCTTCATACCCCACTTATCAAATATGGGACCTTTCAGGGCTGGGGTACAGCTCAGTGGTGAACACCTGCCTAACCTGTGTGAAGTCCTGGGCTTAATCCCAGCACTGCAAAACAAATAAAAAAATAGAAAGAAAAAGAAAACCCCAGGACATTCCCAGCTCTGGAGGCTACCTTTCCAAGGGTGACCATCAATCACTCTGACTTTAATAAGATCCTGTCTTGAGACAGGGTCTTGCTATGTACGCTCAGGCTGGCATGGAACTCAGGATCCTCCTGTCTCAGCCTGCCATAGTGCTGGGATCACAGGCCTGCGTCACCATAGGCCAGGTGGTTGGCTCTTGGGTTTTTTTTTTTTTTTCCTTTAGTGTTGGGCAGGTGCTCAGGCCTGAGCTGCACTGGCCTTGTTTGTTTCTCTGTGCCATGTTCCCTCATGCTCTAACTTCCTTCCATTCTTTTGGGTTTTCCAGGCAGTCACATTACCTGCAAAGAGGCAGTCTTCCTTTTTCCAGTTCAGCTACTGGGTCTCTAATTGCTTTCTCCTGTCCAGTGTTGCCGGTGTGTAGGGAGCTGTGGCTCTTTTCCCACTTTTGACTCCAGCTTTTGCTTAGGAAGTAGGGTGCTGGCTGCCAGGCCACTGCACTTAACCCTGCTCTCAGATGAGCAGAGGGAGTTAAGGGGTGAGTCAGTCCCCCCCCAACCCCATCTGAGGCCACACTGCCTCCCACCCCGCAGGAGATTGTCAATTTCAACTGCCGGAAGCTGGTGGCTTCCATGCCACTCTTCGCCAATGCAGACCCTAACTTTGTCACCGCCATGCTGACCAAGCTCAAGTTCGAGGTCTTTCAGCCCGGCGACTATATCATCCGGGAGGGCACCATCGGCAAGAAGATGTACTTCATCCAGCATGGCGTGGTCAGCGTGCTCACCAAGGGCAACAAGGAGATGAAGTTGTCCGATGGCTCCTATTTCGGCGGTGAGGGGGTGGAGGGCAGGGTGGACGCCGGTGGCAGGGGGTGGAATGGCGGGGGTGTTGGTAGGAGCCCTGGCTGGCAGGGGTAGCTCCAGAGAAGCTGCAGAGGCTAGACCGTCCCAGGGAGTAGGGGCAGCACCGTCCTGGGGCTGAGCTGCCTCTCTGGGCAACGCAGAGATTTGCCTGCTCACGCGGGGCCGACGCACGGCCAGCGTGCGTGCGGACACCTACTGCCGCCTCTACTCGCTGAGCGTGGACAACTTCAACGAGGTGCTGGAGGAGTATCCCATGATGCGGCGCGCCTTCGAGACAGTGGCCATCGACCGCCTGGACCGCATCGGTGAGTAGGTAGCCTCCGTGGGAGGGATGGGTGGAGCTAGGGGCGTGGCCTGGCCCTCAAGGTCTCTGGAATCTAGACGGGCTCCTTGCCCTGCCCTGCTTTGGCTGAATAAAGAGAAGCTGGGCGCCTCCTGCTGTGTGCGGTTTCTGCTCATTTGGCAAATGCTTTTTGAGCATCTGCAGTGCGCCAGGGTACAGGTTGTGGACCAGGAGACTGCTCAGGGGCTGTGGTCGTATCACATACAGAGGGGCAGCTCTGAGGAGGGATGCTGAGTGGAAGAGGCACCTGTAAGGTGCAAAAGGGTGTTCCTGGATTGTCCGTAGCACATTCAAAGGCCCTGAGGTAGAAAAGAGGTCTGAAGGAGGGAGATAGGAAGGAGCCAGATGTACAGAGCCTAGTGGCCATGGATGGAGGAGTTCAGACTAAATCAGGAGCAGTAGGGATCCATGGAGAGTTCTAGGTGTTGTGGGGAGAGAGGGGGCTGATCAGATTTGCATTCCACAGGAGGCAGCATCCAGGAGGAAGATGGTGGCCTGGCTTGTTATGCATTTGTGGCTTCAGGGACAGGGGGAGGTGGAGCCCCAAGACTTGCTGAGGGCAGGACATAGGAATCAGGAAATGTGAAAACAGTGGCTGAAAAAGCAGGACTGGGTGGAGTAGGGAGGGAACAGAGGGTCTTACAGTATACAAAAAGTGCTCAACACATGCTTGCATATGATAGGCAATATACAGTAGGTGCTTAACACACTTGTGAATGGCAGGTCCTTAAACAGACTTGTCTACAGTAGATAATACATGCCTGTCATGTGGTAAATACTTGGCACTGTGGCTGTGCACAGGCAAGTGTTCCAGATGTGCTTTCTGCCCACTGGAGACGAACAGCACGAGTACTGTATGTAGGGTGTTTACGCACACGCTGTGCAGTGTCTGATCCCTGCTGTGTTACCATCGCACGTGAGATAAGCAAGTACGCCATGAGCCTGCTATACACACTGAACACTCAGTTCATGCTTGCTGCTTGCCATAAGGTGCTCTGCGTGTGCTGGCTGAGTAGGCACACAGCAGGTGTTCCGTGTTCTTGCTGCACACAGGAAATGCTCAGAAAGTTACCTGCTTTCTGTGGACAGGAGGTGCTCCATATATGCTTATTGTATACAGTAGGTGCTCAATACTTGCTCTACACAGCAGGTGCTCTATGTACTTGCTCTGCACAGCTGGCACTCCATGTGTGCCTATTGTATACATCAGGTACTCTGTGTGATCACTGTATGCTCCAGAAGCTTAATAAGCTGCTCGTCTCACACAGCAAGACCCCATCCCTGCCTGGTACTTAGCAGGCACAGTGTGCTGATGCTCCTCCCCTCGCCCCCCAGGCAAGAAGAACTCGATCCTTCTGCACAAGGTGCAGCACGACCTGAGCTCAGGCGTGTTCAACAACCAGGAGAACGCCATCATCCAGGAGATTGTCAAGTACGACCGCGAGATGGTGCAGCAGGCAGAGCTGGGGCAGCGCGTTGGCCTTTTCCCGCCCCCGCCGCCGCCGCAGGTCACCTCGGCCATCGCCACCTTGCAGCAGGCAGTAGCCATGAGCTTCTGCCCGCAGGTTGCACGCCCACTTGTAGGGCCACTGGCGCTCGGCTCGCCGCGCCTTGTGCGCCGCATGCCCCCAGGTCCCGCACCCACCGTAGCCTCTCCGGGGCCTGCGCCCACTGCCAGTCCCCCCGGCGCGCCTGCCAGCCCTCGGGCGCCGCGGACCTCGCCCTATGGCGGTGCGCCCGGCTCGCCCGCGGCCCCCCATGCGGGATCTGCACTACCTGCGCGCCGGCTAAGTCGTGCTTCGCGCCCGCTGTCCGCCTCACAGCCCTCGCTGCCCCACGGTGCCCCTGGGCCTGCGGCTTCCGCGCGCCAGGCCAGCAGCTCCACCCCACGCCTGGGGCCCACACCTACCGCCCGGGCCGCTGCGCCCAGCCCGGACCGCAGGGACTCGGCCTTGTCCGGCACCGCCGGTGGCCTCGACCCGCTGGACTCTGCGCGCTCGCGCCTCTCATCCAACTTGTGACCCTCGCGTGGCGCCCCGCGGGCCACCGGGCCGGGCGGGGCCGTCATCCAGACCAAAGCCATGCCATGCGCTGCCCCGGCGCCCGCCCGCCCACGCAGAAGCCATAGAGGGACGTAGGTAGTTGTAGTCGGACGGGCGACAGCGGCGGGCAGCCCCTCGCTCCCGGTTGTCCTCTCATCGCCCCGTGCCCACCCCCATCGCCCCTGCCCCCAGCAGCGGCCACACGCACGTGGGAGCGAGGGACTCCTTCACCTCGGTGCCTCAGTTCCCCCAACTGTAAAAGGGGACTGGGTCGGCCCCTGGGCCGAGAAGAGATGGCTGTGGAGCCCCGCCCACCCCACTCTGGCAGGTGGTCGCCATTGAAGGATTCAGTTTTTAAGTGCAATACTTGGCCTGCCGGCTTCCCGCTCCCCTATCGCGCTCACGCAATAACCAGCCCGCCCCTGTCCACGAATCCGCGGTAACCTCCTTGGGGTGGGCACGGCCGCTTCCTCCAGCACCGGGCACACAGAGGTCGGCATCCTGGCCGTGCTTCCGTGGGGGTGAGGCCGAGGTCCCCACCACCGCGATGAATGTACTGATGAGCCGAGACAGCAGCGCCCACCGCGGCCCCCACGCCCCATTAACCCATCCCCCCATTCCGCGCAATAAATAACAGCATTGGCGCCCAGCGCGCAGTCTGACTGCTTGGCGGTGCGCGCATCCCTAGAAGGCAGCAGCTCCCGTGGGTGATGACAGCTTTATTTACACTATGGACAGGGCACCTGGGGACAGTGGGCAGGGCCTGCATCAGCTGAAAAAGTACATGGAGTTCTTCACCTGCTCCAGGTCGAAGGCCCCTGCGGAGGGAGCAGGGAGCTGAAGCTTAGGGGCGCCAGGGGTGCTACAGCCAAGTGGTTGTGCATGCCTGGGCCTGGGCCCCTCCCCTTACCTGTCTCTGGCACAGACTGCAGCGTCTCCTGCAGCTTGGTGACCAGGATGCGATCGGAGAGCTTGGACGTGGCACTAAAAACAGGGAGGGGGTAAGGCAAAGGCACAGGCAGAGCCATAAAAAGGACATCAGGGCCACCTGGGGTGGGACGGGCATCTCACCTGGGGCTGAGGCAGAAGCGATTCATCAGGAACTTGGACAGGTCCTGCAGGATGGGCTGGCTGTGCAGACGGATGAACTGCTCACGGCATACCTGCAAAGGGATGTCAGGAAACTCTTGCTTGCTGGGAAGTGGGGGGCCAGGTGGGTTCCCAGGTCAGACAAGGTCTGGGCACCACGCCTGGGGAATCACTGAATAAGATTCCATCTTCTCAGTAGAGGAACACGGACGCACCTGGTTCATGACTGGGACATCAGCTGCGTGTGTCCAGAAGCAGTCGTGCACTGAAACGAAGGTCAGACCCTTCCTGGGCAGCAGAGACCTCCCATGAGAAGGGTGCCTTGTCCCACCACTATAGGACCTGGAGCCTGTCCCATGTACCTGTGCCAACCACACCTTCCCCATGGGACACAGGGTCCAAGGAGCCCCCTCTTCCTGCTCCCTCACTTTATTGCCTGGCACTGGCACCCCCAGGACTGCCCTCTCATTCCTCTCAGCAGAAAGGTCCTCAGGGAAACCACCTCACCCCTTCAGGGGTGGCTGACACTGAGCCCCACCCCAGGCTCCATCTGAAGCTTCACACCATCCTGACACACAGCACCCTGAACCCAACTCAGTCCAGCCTCAGCTGCATGTCAGTGAGTGTTAGGAGGATTATCCACTTGCTTCGGGGCCACCTGTGTGCAGGACAGAAACCTAAAGGCCTCTGCCAGCATCCTGCATGGCTTATGACCCCAGAAACCACCAGAAGACCTTGTGGTATGGGAAACCCCATAAGGCCCCTTCACTGTCACAACAGCTCACCTTCGCTAGCCCAGCCCGCTTTGCACATGTGGCTCTTCTTGCCCAGCAGACAAAACCCTCCTGCCCTGCTATGAGTCTCCACTCAGCCCCTGATGGGAAAGGCCTGGACCTGTCCTGCTGGACTAGGCCTCACATCCTTGTCCTAGCATGTCCCTAGTCACCAGAATAGGACTGTCATGCTGTAGACAGTTACAAGCTACCAGCAGCACACCTGTTCCAGCCCATGTCAGTCCCCACCTACAGTAGGGACTGTAGGCAGTGCCTACCTACCTATAGCAGTGCAGGGCGGTGAGCATCATGTGCGTAGAGTCTAGTGAGTGGATGAAGTTGGGTGGGAAACCATTCTTCTGCTTGAGTGTGTTGGGCTTCCTGGAGGGCAGGTGGCATGCTACGGCCGGGCTCGGTGTGTCTGTACCAGCTCTAGTCCAGCACCCTCCCTCAGTGCCTCCCAGTCTCCCTCCTTTGGCATCCCCCCTCAGTCTCCATCTTCAGGAGCCTTTCTTCTTCCCTAGGACTCCCCCTTATGCCCCCCTAGCCACTCACTGGTTGCTGTCTGCACTGCTGATGCAGGTGATGGATTGGAGCCCGCCTCTGACCTACAGGGTGGGGACAGAGGGGCAATGAGTCCTGTCCAAGTCCCCAACCAGGGAGTGGAGGGCCAGGAGGTCCACATACCACAAACTTGGAGTCATGGTGGTATGGCTGGATGATGGGGATGCCCAAGGGGGTGACCCACTCCACTGCAGAGCCCGTGTGGGAGATGAGGCGGGCACTCTCGGTCAGCCAGTGCTATGGAACAGGGCATCAGCTCAGGCTGGGGCTATGCCTCAGCCTGGGTGGTGGCAGAGAAGGGGACAATGGGCCAGGTTGAGGGTGGGGGCAAGGAGGCTACTCAAGACAACAGACACACACCTGAATGGCTCTGGTGCCTGAAAACATCTCCTGCAGGCTGCTGAAAACCTGGCGTACAAGGTAGTGGGAGGCCTCCCAGACAAACTCCTGAAGAAGGCAGGCAGTGGGCAGGGCCAGACCAGCAGCTGGTCCCTCCACACACCTGCCCCACGCCACTGAACCGATAGCTTCACAGGACTTGCCCCACTCACACCCCATTCCACCTTTCAGAAGATGAGGCCTGAGGTCCATATGAGAGTAGAGGAAGGAGGTGGGGGAAGCTAGTGGCTGGGTGCAGGGAGCAGGGCCGTCCTCTCACCTGGGGGAAGCTGCTGAGTTCCCGGAGGCGCTTCTCAATCTGCAGGCGCCCTCCATAGCGGGTGACCCCATACACCACAGTCATTACCGTCTGCTTCACCACCTTGCGGCTGATAAAGCCCTCAAGTACCTGGGCCACTCGTATGCCCTTCGTGGCATCCTGCCTGCGGAACACCTCCACCTGGCCACAGGCAGGTGGGCAGTCAGTGCTGATAGGGGCCATCTAGGAGCCCTAATCTCACCCAACAGTGCCCTACCACATCATGCAACAGACTGAGGCCACGAGGGTCACTAAGGAATCTGCCACACTCAGGCACTTGCAGGACCGTTCCTGCTGCACCAGAGACCTTGGGTGGGGACAGGGGTGATAGCCCTGGAGCCCACCTTTGCAGCCACCTCACTGTACACGTCTTGTGGCAGGTCTGAGGGCATCAGGTTGACAGAGGCGGCACCCATACTGTCCTTGCCCAGGGCAGCATAGTGTTGCAGACCATTGCAGGAGCCGTCCTAGGTGGAGGGGCATCCATGAGCTGGCAATCACAGCTCCGAGTCCCCACGCCCCAGGCCCCAAGACTGAGAAACAGGCATTGCCCCACACTGTGCTGGGGAAGCTGGGGCACACAGAGAGGTAGAGATTTGTGGCAAAGGGGGACCTGCCTGCCCACAGGCACATGGCAAGGTCAGATGAACCACTATGGGACACCCACACTTTACAGTGAAACTTCAGACTGCAAATGCAGGACCCAGGATGCCTTAAACTGAGTCCCAGCCGAGCACCCCCACTGTGGGGCCTGTGCTGCCTCAAGCAGGCCCTCCCCAGGCTCACCTGGTGAACAGGCAGGTGGGAGACATAAGCAGTAGGGTCTGGGGTCCGCACGGCCCGTGCCACCTCCATGCAGCAGGCCAGGGTCTGCCAGGGCTCATCCGCCTCCATCCACCACTTCCGGCCCTTTGCAGTGGGTGGGGGAAGGGTACTCAAGTGAGGCCTGGGCCTGAACTGTGGGGCTGTACTCAGTTCAGACTAGCTGGGCTGGCTCAGGGGACATGCAGACACAAGGTGGCCAGACACACACGTGACAGGAAAGAAAGGATCCATATGGGTGAGATACAGAGGCAGTGAGTGGCCACAGGACACACAAAGTTCTGGAAGGAGGGCTGCCTGGTGGGAGCTGATGGACTGGGAGTCCGTCCCATCTGCTGGACAGAGTCTGGAGGCCAGAAGGCATTGGGAGGTGGCCAGAGCTAGAGTAGGACAGGCCAGGAGACACAGAGAAATGGGGAGAGATGAAAGACATGGAGGAAGACAGAGACAGACTGAAGAGTGGGGAGAAGATAGGAAAAAACGTCAGTGAGGGAGAGGAGACAGGGCCTGGAGCCCGCCTGCTGGCCCCTACCGTCATGGGCTGGTCCGCAGAGTCCAGGATGTCATCCATCACCTCATTGGCGAAGGCCAGGCGGGCCCGCAGTGAGTCGCGCTTCTTGAGCCCAGTGAGGTTGACTAGGTGGATCTTGAGCCAGTCCAAGCCATGAGGGCCAAGCGTGCGGCCCTCGGCAAACTCCAGCAGAGCACGGGCCAGGTCACTGCCCAGGTGGTTGAAGTGTGGTGGGCAGGGGTAGGTGCGGCCCCGGAAGTCCATGTTGTGGGGCAGCCAGAAGGTGCATTCCCGCAGGTGCTGAGCCAGCGAGAGGCGGTACAGGGCATCTATGCGCAGACTGTGCATCTCACGGGCCACCTTCAGGCAGCGTGCCAGCTCCCGCCGTACCTCAGCCTTGTAGGCAGGTGGTGTGCCAGGTGGCAGGACACCCTCAGGAGGCCGGGGTGCCTCAGAGGGAGGTGGTGGCACCCCCAGGCGGGCACAGCCCTTGGCCCGGAAGAGCTCCAGCACCAGGTCCAGTATGCACCCATTGACACGCCAGGCGCAGTTCCCCAGCTGGGTAAGTGCATCCAGGGCACCATGCAGCTCAGCAGGTGGGCAGCGCTCTAACAGGTGCTGGTGCTGCATGGTGCCTTCCACCGAGCGCATCAGCTTGGTGGGGCTCAGCAGGAAGGCACCTGCATGTGGTGAGGTCCAGGGCAGCGGGGGGCACAGCATGGGAACGTCAGTTGCCTCAAAGGTCAGTGTGGTCTCTGCTGCAGCAGCCAACAGCTGCGTGAAGGCTGGGTGCGGCTTGAGGATGCCAATCTGGACGAGACGCAGAGGTCAGCACCTGGCCCTCAAGCCCACACAGGTCACTCCTGCCTGGACCCATGTCAGGGGCCGCCCTGCCCAACCAACAACTAGTGTGCCCTTCACTAACAGATGGGGAGTGATAGTTAACTTTTGTGAGCAAGTTGTGCATGTCAGATGACCCATCCCAAGAGGTGAGAGTGATGGAACAGCAACTGCCCAGAGAAGTCAAGAGCCCCCAAGAGGCATACAGCATTCCTGACCCCTGATTGGATCCTCCACCCTAGCAGATGACCCCATGGCTGAAGAGAGAGAACCTCTGTCCAACACAGCCGAGGGGTCTCCGTGGCACCCTCAGAGGTCCTGCTGCCTCCCTGACCTGTAGCCCCACCCACCTGGCGGAAACTCCGGAAGGAGTAGACATGGTAAAGCACGGGGATGAGCCTGCAGGCGCCTGGGGAGCAGCCAGGTTGCGGGGCATCTGCACAGCCTGCACCAGCACCTCAGCCAGTTGCTTGCCCAGCTGCAAGACCACTGGCAGGGGCCAGGGCCGCTGTGGCGGAGCTTCAGGTGCCCCCAGTGCCTCCCAGTACTGCCGAGGCAGGTAGGGTACAGCCACCTGTGGAAAGGGGTGATTAGGGAGTCAGAGGGCAGGGGCTGCTGGGCTGGACACCCACATTGGCCTCAGCCTTACCAGCTAGTAGGGCAACTGCTGTCCCCATTTTTTAAGTGCAGAAACTAAGGCTCAGATGGAGTCATAGCAAGAAGCAGCAGAGCTGGATCACAAGTAAACAACACAGAGAGGGAGGGGTGCCCAGTGCCTGCCTCACCTGAGTGTCAGAGGCCAACAGTTGCAGGTACCGTGTGTACCGCTGCTTCAGCTCCTCCACCTGGTTGCTGAGCCACTTCTGCTGCACAACATGTCGGTTGAAGGTCCGCAGGCCCAGATCATAGGCCAGGGTGATGAGTGACTCGCCCTGGGCGGGCAGTGCATACAAGGCCTGGGGGACAGTATGTAGCTATGAATCCATGTTGCCTGCTGCCCCCCTACCTGCCTGCCAGGCCTGGCGAACACCCACCTGCAAAAGCATCCGTACGAGCTCCTGCTCGCTGAGCAGGCACAGGAAAGGGTAGAGCGTGGGACGGCCCTTGTGAGCCTCTTGGGCCAGGCTGGCCTTGGTCTCCTGCAGCAGCCGGAGCAGCGCTGCCTCCCACTGCACACGCAGGGTCTTCAGGGTCTTCCGCTACGAGGGGACAGAACATGGGCAATCACCACTGCAGGGGCCACCCAGACCCTGAGCTCATGTCTCAGCTCATGTCCCTGGTGGAGAGCTTGTGGGGCCCTGGCTGCCTGGACTGTCTTGGCAGCTGGAGGAGGGCATGGTTGGTGTGAGGAGGCAGAATGAGCAGTCCACCTGGGAGCTTTGCACGGTGGTGAAGGTCAAGACCCACCCGTGGACTCACAAGTCTGCCCTGAGTCTTGACCTGGCTGAGCCCGTCAGGTCTGTCCCAACAACAGGTCCAGACTGGAGACACCCTTACTGCCTGAATGTTCTCTTTGGTCAGCCCCTGAACCTTCTCCACAGACTCCACATGAACACTGCTGGTCAGCTCCACGTGCAGCTGCTTCTGGAAGAAGTTCTGCAGGGTCTTCAGGGGCAGGTGCAGCTTTGGGTAGGACACGGGTCCATCCTGAAGGGAACCACAGGAGAGGTACAGGATAGAGAGCTGTGCTCCTCTCCAAGTAACTGGCAACACCCAGCAGCCTACCTCCCTACCCAGGAGCCCCCTGCCCCGCAGAGTCACAGCCAAAAGTCTCCTCATGTCCCTGCTTATGTCCTTCACTGAGGATGGGCAGAGTCCAGGGAGATGGTTCACTGCATCTCCAATGTGTTTTCTTTCCAAACTTGGAACCGTGTGAATGTGTGACCAACAAAAATAGATAAGTTAAAAATAGTGACTAAAACCCAGAGCACTGAGAAGTGAAAGTGCATATCCACACAAAAGCCTGAACATGTGGCTCACTGCGGCAGGACTCACAACAGAGAACAGGAACAGCCAAGTGCCACCATGGACAACTGGACATGCATGTGTTCCTCCACACTGGAGATCACTCGGTCAAGCAAGGCTGTGACACACGCTACAACATGGAGGGAACCTGAGGACACTGAGCTCAGTAAGAAAACCAGATGCAACAGACTGCACAGTGTGTGACTCCATTGATGGGAAACATTCACAACAGGGGAATCCAGAGACAGACACAGCTTCACGGATGTGTGATTGTGAGAACAGACTCCCCCCTGAATTATGCTTTCCATGGTAGATCAGATTGCAGGTGTATTGCATCTCAGTAAAAGGAGAACCTGAGCATCAGCCTGATGGCTTCAAGGGCCCTCACCACTCTCCTTGCCTGCGCACCGGCTGGGTGCTTTCTTGACACTGTAGCCTGTCTTGGCTACAGCAGTTTGTCCAACTCTAAAGGCCATGTTCCCTAGCACCTTCCACCCTCAATGTCAAGGTCCTTTGTATCCTGCTGAGCCAGGTACCTCTAGCTCTGACTGTTCACCCTTCCTGAAACCCAAAGGGAAGAATGAGGAGCTGATATGACAGACAGGCAAGGCTCTAAAGCAGCAGCAAGGAGCCTACAGGGTGCTATAAAGTTGGGGCTACTACCAAGGACTGAAGTCACCAGAGCACACAGCTCACCTTGCATGGGCTACCTGCCACATGCTGCAGCTTCAGGTCTGGGCTCACCTGGGCATAGATCTCCCTGAGCAGCGTCGAGGTGTTGACCTGGGGTGGGGTCTGTGGCGGGGGGCTGAAGGCAGGCTCAGCTTTGACCACAGCCCTCAAAAGTGCAGCCCGCTCCTCCTCGGACAGGGCCAGGGCTGTGAAGAGTTGCTGTAACTGCAGCCCATCCTGGGCCATTTGCTCTAGACACCTGTGGGGGCAGTGCACAGGTGGACAGCAGACCCATGCTAGGACAGGGGACTCCCAAATCCAGTGTCCCTGAAGCCCACCTGAGGGTACTCGAGACCACCTCCCACTCACCCTGCCAGTGCGCCCCTGTGCCCAACAAAGCTGTGGAGGGAGGTAGGGGCTACTAAGCCCCACCTACCTTTTGATGGTGCGGGCATCCTGGTCCAATCTCCCCATGCACTGGAGTGTGGCCATATAGGACAGCAGGTCTGGGGTGAGGCCGGCATCCTTCACCATGAAGAACACGTAAACCAGCTCCTTGAAGGAGCCCTGGGGACACCAAATCAGGGTGAAGGCCTGGGGATGGCCAGGTACCCCCATCCCTCTGCTTCCTGCAGACCCCTCCTCTGTAGCATGACTCAGAAGGGGACTGGGCCACTAGCCCCAGCACCAGCTGGGCAGACAGACAAATCCATTCACCTTACATTGCTGTGCAGAGTGGTCAGGAGGCCACAAATACAGCCAGTGGGACTACTGGGAGGTTTGTGTCCCTTTGAGGGAGCTTGTCTATAGTTTTAAATTTTATAGATATGAACATGCATATTTTCAAGGCTGATAAAATTTGACTGCTTTTCAAGCAGCTTAGCTTAAGGTTTGCCATTGCTGCTGATCTTTCCAAAGGACTGACTTTTACTTCTACTGATACTTAGTACCACTCCCCTCTTCTTGCTTTCAGCTATCTCTGTTCCAATCTCACTGCTTCCTTTTATCTGTCAGCTTTGGGATCAGGGTGCACTTCTCTTTCTAGTTTCCTAAGATGGGAGGTGGGTTATTGATTTGCGATCTTCCACTTTCCACCTTTCTTTCATTCTTTTCTTTCTTTTTTGGTGGGACTAAAGGTTGAACTAGGGTTTCATGCTTGCAAAGCAGGTACTCTACCACTTGAGCCACACCTCCAGTCCATTTTGCTTTACTTATTTTGGAAATGGGATCTCAAGAACTATTTGCCTGGGAAATGGGATCTCAAGACTATTTGCTCGGTCTTCCTGATCTCTGCCTCCTGAGAAGCTAGGATTACAGGCGTGAGCCATTGGAGCCTGGCTTTCTTCTTTTCTTTTTTGGAGGCACTGGGGTTTGAACTCAGGAACTTCACTTTTGCTAGGCAGGTGCTCTTACCATTTGAGACACTCCACCAGCCCTTGGTCTTTCACCTTTCTTAATGGATCTGCTTAAGGTTGTGAGTTTCTCTCAGAGCACTGCTTTAGCTGCATTCCAGAGGCTGTTTTCCAGGTTCTCTGGCAATTCCTCTTTTAACTCCTGGTTGCATAGAAATGCATTACAGATGCTTCCAAAGGGAAGAACATTCCCCACATCCTCTCCTTTCTCATTCCTGCAAACCTGACTTAAGAAATGTCAGCTGGGCGCCAGTGGCCTCCTAGCTACTCTGGAGGGAGAGATCAGGAGAGGAGAATCTCAGTTCGATGCCAACTGGCAAATAGTTGGCAAGACCCTATCTTGAAAATACCCCACATAAAAAAGGGCTAGCGGAGTGGCTCAAGTGGTAGAGCACCTACCTAGCAAGCATGAGGCCCTGAGCTCAAGCCCCAGTACTGCAAGAAAAGCAAAACAAAAAACAGAGAGGACACAGAGACACATGGGGAAGAAGGCCACCTGACGATGGGGCAGATTCAATGATGCAGCCACCAGCCAAGGAACAAGGACTGTTGGCCATGTCACACACTGGGAAAGGCAGGAAGGACCCTTCTTGGAGCTGTGGGAGGGAGCACAGATCTCAGTCTCAGATTTCTGGGCTCCAGGCTGGGAGAGAACAAATTGCTGCTGTTCTAAGCTACCAGGCTGTAAATTTTTGCCTCAGGAGTCCTAAGAAACTTATACAAGGGCTAGCAGTAAAAACACCTCCTTTAACAAGGCTCTGCATAGGGGGATTTGGAGGATTTGTGAGCTGGGGTGGGATCAGACATACCTCTTTCAAGCAGTGATGAACCTCACCTGGTGGTAAGGGCACTGCAGCCTTAAAAATAATGGACAGCACAAGATGCACCCAGGATGTTGCTGTTCCATGCCCTAACAGAGGCACATCAAATTCTCTAGAACACATCTGTGTTAATATTTTGACAGCTATTTTTTTCTTAAACCTAAAATCAAACCAGCCCTTACTGCTATTTCCCAGGAGTGCAGGATCATGGGATGGGAGCTAATGCTGCAGGGGTGAGGGGAGCGCTCCGTTAGCAACTCTCCTAAACAGCCAATGGGTCAAAGAAGAAACTGGGCTGGGCGCTGGTGGCTCACGCCTGTAATCCTAGCTACTCAGGGGGCAGAGATTTAAGAGGATCTTGGTTTGAAACTAGCCTGGGCAAATAGTTCACGAGACCCTATGTCAAAAAAACCCCATCACAAAAAAGGGGCTGGTGGAGTGGCTCAAGGTGTAGGCCCTGAGTTCCAGCCCCAGCACCACAAAAAAAAAGAAAAAAGAAATTGGAGGATCAGGAAATACTTGGAGACGAACAAAAAACAAGGGATGTAGCTAAAGCAGTGCTCGGAGGGAAACTGCTAGCTGCAGACACCTATACTAACAAAGAAGAATCATAGTACCCTAACTTTCCACTTGAGAAAACCAGAAGAATCCAGGTGCCAGTAGCTCATCCCTAAATTCCTAGCTACTTGTTTTTTTGTTTGTTTTTTGGTTTTGGGGGGGTTTTGGTGCTGGTATCAAACCCAGGGCCTCGTGCATGCTAGGCAAGTGCTCTATCACTGAGCTACATTCCAGCCCAATCCTAGCTACTTGAGAGGCTGATATCAGGAAACTCTTAGTTCAAGGCTGGCCAAGGCAAATAGTTTGAGAGATGCCATCTGCAAAATAACCAGAGCAAAAAGGACTTGGAGGTGTGGCTCAAGCAGTAGAGCACCTACTTTACAAGTGTAAAGCCCGGATTCAAACCTAGAAGAAAAAGAACAAGCTGACCTGAGAGCACTTAGGCCCTCATCCCTGAGGTTCATGGGCCAGTAGACAACAGGAACACCCACGGGTGCAGAAGTTCTAGGCAGAACAGATGGGAGGAAATGCATGAAAACATTCACAGGGACCTTTTGCTTTTGGTCATTTTCAAAACTTCCACTGACAGCCACATGTAATTTCTATCTGAATAACCTAAAAGCCAGGTGTGATGGCTCACACCTGTTATCCCAGCTACTCGGGAGGCGTTCTGAAGCCAACCTGGGCAAAAAGTTCATGAGACCCCCATCTCGACCAATGGCCAGATGACTGCAAGCGCCCATCATCCCAGTGTCGCATCCAGGCTGGCCCAGGCATAAATGCAAGACCCAATTCAAAAAATAACTAACAGCAAAAAAGAGCCGGACTCACTCAAGTGGTAGAACACCTGCCCAGCAAGTGTAAGGCCTTGAGTTCAAACCCCACTACTGCAAATAAGTAAATAAATAGAAAAAAATGTAAAAGCCTGTAAGAGTTATTAAAGTGAAACACAAAGGACTTAAACTTTGGAGCTAAATAAGCCAAGGGATGGAATCTATGTGAGGGCAAGTCCTGCCTTTGAGCCTCAGCTCTGCTCTGACAGGTCCCTGGGAAGACTTTCTCCCTCTGAAGGCTCTCCTCACCTTGCGAGCCCAGCCGAGCATGACCGTGTTATACATGGCCAGTGTGAGCAGCTTCTGCTTCTGGGGCCTGCCATGATGGCTGACCAGCACATGGTGTGCAAGGGGCAGGTGACCAGTGGCCAGGCAGCACTCGAAGAAGGCTTGGAGCTTCTGCTGCTGGCTTAAGACTTGTGCTTCCACTGCCGGGTTGGGCTTGGACTGGGCCCGCTTCTCAGAGCTCCGCCTCCGTGGGGCCTCCCGCAGCACCTGGTTCAAGCGCTCCTCCCAGGGGCTCTCAGAGGCCCTGTGTGCTGCAGGCTGCAGGCAACTAGCCAGCTGCCCACTCAGAAGCCGGGGTTCAATGCGCAGGGTCCAGGGCTGCAGCCTGATGGCCAGCTTCTGGCTGCGCTCCTGCAGCTGCACCTTCAGATGCTGCTGGCGCTTCTGCAGCTTCTGCCTCTCCTGGTCCAGCTTCTCCGCCCAGCGGCCCCTGCCTTTTGGAAGCTGGGACATTTCCACCTGCTTCATTGTCACTTCAGACACACTCTCTGCTTGCAGCTGTCGCACGCGTGCCTCCAGCACTGTAGGCAGAGGGGAGGGGTCAGGCCCCACTCAGTCCCCTCACTATACCCCACCAACAGTCCCCAGCACTTCCAGTAGAGGGAAGGGTTCAGGCCCCATTCAGCTCCCCACCACAGCTAAGTGGGCCATGGGAGGTGCTAAGGCCTCCAATCCAGTCTTGTGTTACAAATGCCCCAAGTTCTCCATAATTTAACTCATGACCACCTTCCCAGCACCTCTACTGACTCCCTCAAACAACTCCAAGAGCTGCTCTTCCATGTCTCTTCCATCCCTGGCATTCCTGCCCCTCCAGACACACACCCCAGGGTCACTCTCTCCCCCTCCACATCACATCAGCAGGTCCTCTGGCTCTGCCTGCTTAATCTCCTGTTTACCATCCCCTGCTTCCCACCACCCACCCTTGCTCACTCTGTCCAGCCTGAAGGCTCCTGTCCTACCTTGCAACCTTTGCACATGCTGTGCCCTCTATATTGGGGTTGGGGATTTAGCTCAGTGGAAGAGCACTTGCCTGGCAAGTGCAAGGCCCTGAGTTCGGTCCCCAGCACCGAAAAAAAAAAAGGAAAAAATAGAAAAAAAAGACAAAAAAAAAAAAAAACAAGGCAACTGTGCCCTCTATCTTGACCAACTGGGCCAGGACCCTGGACTGCCTATTCCCAGTCTGCACTGCCACCTGACAACTGCGCTGGCCTCCTGGGGCACTGCCTCCTCACAGGCACTTGACACTGGACATTGATCCTACTGCTTTATGAAGTTGCTGGAAACACTGAGCTAGGTGAGCCACTGTACCCAAGGGAAACACAGGGGCTGTGTTCATTTTTATCAACTGACAAAACGTAGCTCTGCTTTATGTGCTTTGAAGACATCTTGTGTAATATACTTTGCTGAGTCGTCAACATTGAATTCATGGCCTGCAGCTCTCTAGCCCACTGCAGAAGCCAGTAGACCAACACGTTATATACATTTTCTCTATCATGCACATCATGGCACTATACACGGGGACCATTCTAAACAGCAACATCACCACCAAAAGCACAGAAAGGCAAAAAGCATGGTATTGAAGGTGCCACAAAAGGAGACCCTAGGTTTCAGCACGAGCAAAAGCCAGGCAAGTCACTGCCTTATCACATTTCAGTCGGAGGTGTCTGCCTCAGGCAGCTCAAACTCTGCCCCTCTGTGCATGTCTGATTGGGAAATTAAGGATGGGTTCTGGGATTACAAGTGAGTTTTGGTAAGCAGGTGAAATCTGCAAGTCTAGAATCCTGGAATACCAAGGACCAACTGCATCTGCCTTCTGCTTCCCACATTTCCCTCAGCAGAATACCAGCCCACAAGCCCTGCAACTGGCTATGATAAGGGACAGCAAGCACATGGTAGGGGCCTAGTACAGATTTACTGAAATAAAATACAAGCACAACCTTGGCCCTCAGAGTACTGCACAACATAGGAGACACCGTTAGAATAAACATGCGGGCGTGTTGAAAAAAAGAGTAAGGTGAAGGGGATGGGATGTGGGTTCCAGCTTCCTCGTGGGGAGGTGATGGCTGAGCTGAAACCTGGGAGGTAAGGGCCACCAGCTCTACAGGAACCAGGGGTCACATAGGTACAAGGGTCTTGGGGCATGAGCTCATCCATCACACAGCAGTGAAGTCAACGTGCCTGCAGTAGGTGGATCCATGGCCACAGCAGGAGTTGAGTTTATTTTGCTCATGAGAAGAAGCAGCCAGAGAGAATATGATGGGATTTAAGTCTAGGACCCTTCTAGGGCTAGATGATGGATCTAGGCTTTGCTTTAGAATAGTTAGGCGAGTGAAGAGGATCAGTGGTTGCTAAAAGTGGAGAGCCACTGCACCTGTCTTTACTTTAGGACCTTAGACTTTTCTGTAACAGAAAGTTCTTTTACAGGTGCTCTCCTCCCTCCCAGCTGCTTGATAGATACAGACAGGACATGGTGCAACCTGAAAACAGGAGACCCTGTACTGTGACCTGGACCAGTATGAGGAAGCACAAAGATGCTCACCTTCTTCTGCCATGCAGGCCTGGGGTTCCCACTGACTAGATATGGTGGCCCAACCTGAGAAAGCCAAGATAGGCAGCTCAAGGCTCAAATTCCAGCCCTGCCCATGGGGCTGTGCACGGCCCTGGGTAGAAAGGTCTCCTTCGAAGTGGCAGGATGCTGGGGAGGGGGAACTATAGGAGCTCCCACACCATCATATGGTATGTCCAACTGCTGAAAGGGCAAAGCCACCTGCTCTGTCACCCTCTTCTCAGCCAACCCTAGGGACCAGGTACTCTGGTGTCTTTTGTTTGTTTTTTTGTTTGTTTGTTTTTTGGTACTGGGGTTTGAACTCAGGGCCTACACCTTGAGCCACTCCACCAGCCCTTTTTTGTGATGGGTTTTTTCGAGATAGGGTCTCACAAACTATTTGCCCCGGATGGCTTCAAACCACAATCCCTCTGATATCTGCCTCCGGAGTAGCTAGGGTTACAGATGTGAGGCACCAGTGCCCAGCAGTTACCCTGTTTTACAGAGAGCTTCAGTGTCTTCTATACAAATGGAGGAGCCTATTCCTTTCTCCTAGGATCACTGTGGGGAAGCAAGGGTGTGTGACCCCAGTGAAGCAGTCCATGGCTACCACAAGGCAGTAACTTTGGCCCCCACACCCGGAGACCCTGCTTACCCTCCAGCAGCTCCGCATGGCTCCAGTCCTTCCTGCGGTCTTGCTCACAGGGGCTAGCAGACGAGCTCCTTCTGGGACCCCAGAGGCCACCGATGGTCTCTGGGGAGAAAGGAAAGTGGAACCAGGAGGTCAGAAATCCGGCATCAAAGGATAACGGGAACCTAACTCACTGAAAACTCATTTATCACAGGTTTCAAATTGGAAGGAAAGCAAGAGGTCAAAAGAAGGGGGCCACACGCTAAGAAAGTGCAGCGAGGGAAGAGAAATAAAGGAACAAGAGTTCCAAAGTCAAGAACCCGAAGTCCCAAATAGAAGGTCTGGGAACTCCAAAAGAGACCAAGAGTCAAAGGTCAAAGTGCCCAGTTGATTCCCCTGAGGAGACGGGTCCAAGGCAAGTAACCTGCAGATCGAGTCAGTGGATTGCCCCGGACCCCACAGGGCATTCTAAGAGCAAAGTTTAGGGATAGTCAGATCCTGGGCCGGGAGAGCCAAAAGTCACCGCCGCGCGGCGGGAAAAGCAGCAGCCGCGGCTTCGCCCCGGGCGGTTCGACCTCCCCAGAGTTACCTTCTTCCGCCGCGGAGCGGGGACGACTGGAGGACCGCAGCACCCTGCCGATCCCCACCGCGCCGCGGCCCCAACCCAGCGCCGACATGCCGCCAGTCACCCGCATCGCGCACGCGCACGCGCGCGCGCAGCTTGCCGGGAAGTGTGGTTCTGCGGCCGACGGCAGCTGCGAGGGCTCGCTCTCGCCGGAAGTGTGCCGCTGGAACTACAACTTTCAAGGGGCAACTTTCGGAGGCAAGAAGGCATGCGTTGGAGGCGCCCTCTGACTGGTTCTTCATGCGCTCAGGGAGGGGAGGGACAACGGTTGCCCTGGCAATTTGGGAGCGTGCATTGGGAGGAGTGGATTTTTTTTTTTTTTTTTTTTTTTTTTGGCAGCGCTAGGGTTTGAACTCAGGGACTCGCACTTGTTAGGCAGTCGCTCTACTACTTCAATTATGCCACCAGCCTTTTTAAAAAATGCGGTACTTGGATCTGAACTCAGGCACTCACGCTTGCCGAGCAGGCGCTATACCACCTGAGCCCCTCCACAACCGTTTTGGGTTGGATTTTTTCGAGATAGGGTCTGGAGAACTATTTGTCCGGGCTGGCTTTGAACTTCCATCCTCCTGATGTCTGCCTCCTGAGTAGCTAGGATTACAGGTGTGAGCCAGCAGCGGCCTCCTCCCTCCAGCTCTTTTGTTTTAGGTTATTTTATTTGTTTGTTTATTTATTTATTTATTTTATAGCTAGGGTCTTCTGTTTTTGCCCAGGGCTGAACTGAACCATGGTTGAGATGGTGGTCTCGCTAACGTTTTACCAGAGCTGCGATCCTCTCATTCTCTACCTCCTCCAAGGCTGGGTTTTTTGTTTGTTTTTGTTGTTCTAAAGGAAAAGTCATGTGATTTGTACAACATTCTGTAAATTAAAGATTCCTGTCTGCAGTCTTCATTGATCCAACGAGAACTTCGGGGTGGGGACATTACTATTCCGGGAGGAAGCCGAGATTCAGAGAGATTTATCAAGTGATCCAAAGACATAGAACATGGACATGGAGAGGGAGACTGGAGGGAAAGCCTAGGTCTGTCTGCTTTCAATCAGAAAAAAGTAATAAGCAACTGGGACACTATATTTCCTGGGTATGTTCCTCATTCACTCCTTCCAGCCTCAGTTTATCTACCTTGGCTTAAGCTCCCAAAGACAGGCAGAATGAAGAAGAAGAGGGGATTAAATGGGGATGCAACAAAAGAAATGAGATAATCCTGGAAGCCTAGATCTAGTGGTAGCCTCCAGGGGATTCCACACAGGCATAAGCAGGACCACAGCATTGGAGTTCAACCTGGAAGACTTGCCCACCTATCATTCAGTTGGGGGAACTGAGGCCTAGAGAGAGAAGCCCCTGGTCTGGGATGAGCAGGCACATGAAGGATGAGTCTAGCAACAGCCAGGGTGGCTATGCTCCAGAGAGATGTCACTAAATGCAAAAGCCTTGGACCAGAAGCCTGCAGAGACCTGAATGGCTGAGCAGAGCAGGGTTGGAGAGGAAGCAAAGACAGTATTGGGGGGAACTCCGGGCAGGACTCACTAGACTCTCTTTGCTCAAGCTGCAACCAGCCTGGGATGCCTGGATTTCCTTTCCCATCAGCCTAGGGCAAGTACTAGATTTGTGACCCCGTTATGACACATTCCAGGCATGGCTGCCCACGCAGGCCTGGCCTCAGTGATGCCACTGGCCAGGAATGTTTCCAGCAGACAGCAGCGTCCTCCCCAACCCACCCATTTCACCCAGGATGCCGGGGGCACAGTGACCTCAGCACTGGCTTCCTCCTGGGGTCACCTTCCTGGCCCCAGGGGCTTAACCAGCAAGGCCTATGACCCAAAGACCTACAAACACCTCTGGTAGAGCCAGGGACCTGAATTATTCTTCTTCCTTTAGGCTTCACATTTCTCTTGTACCTGATGAGACACCAGACTCCCCCACCCAGGCCAGAGAACAGGTGGCTGACTCAGTGGTAACAGCTGTTCTCCTTCCATTCTGCTCAAAGCTCCTGAGGAAGTCCACAGGAGCCTCCCTTAGCACCCACCTGTATTTACCAGCTGTGACTCAGTGGTCTGAGGTGTGTCACCTTGTCCAGTTTTTGTTGTCATTATTTTTTGCAGTACTGAGATTTGAACTCAGAGCCTCATGCTTGCTAGGCAGGTGCTGTGCCACTTGACCCATGCTCTGGCCCTTTTTGTGTTAGCGTGTTTTTAGATCGGGTCTTACACTTTTGCTTTGCCAGCTTCAAAACCTCCTACCTCTACCTCCTGCATGTCTGGGCTCACAGGTGTAACCACTGTATCCAGCCCTTCATGGTATTTCTTTATGGCTTATTGTCAAAATGTCAATAGATGGCAGGTTTTCCTCATCTGAAGGTGATGTCAAGTTTCCTTGTAAAACCTAAGCAAGAAAGGCACTAAGAGCACACAGCCTGATAGCCTGATAGAAGCAGATGTAATTAAAACGGAGATCCTTGGGGAGGCTGGCGTGTGGACAATGTGTTTCCAAGACTGTCTTCTTTTTTAAATTATTTTTATTTTTGGCAGTACTGAGGTTTGAACTCAGGCCTCGAACTTGTCAGGCAGGCATTCTACCACTTGAGCCATGCCCACAATGCCGAAACTGTGGGCAATCATGTCCTGCCCTGTCATGACCTGATGTCTCTCACTGTAGGCTGATTTTGCCTGTTCCAGAATGTCACATCAGTGGGCTTCCTTTGGGTTTGGCTGCTTTGACTCAATGTTATGTCATGCTGTGTGTTTCAGGGTTTGTTCTTTTTCTTGGATGTGTAATATTCCACGGTGTTTTTCTTTTCCCTCAAGTATTTACTCGTTTATGCAGCTGATGGGAATCAAAGGGAAAATATATAATTGAGGAATGCAAAAATAGGGTGATCAGCTGTTCATTGCACTATTTCTGTAAGCTTGAAGTCTTTCAAAAACTCACCACAAGTGGTTAGAGTGAGATTCAGTGGTAGAGCATGTGCTTAGCACACAGGGGACGCTGGGTTCCATCACCACCTCCAAACAAAATTCCCAAAGAGGTGTCACTTTAGCCCACAAGCATGGCTGTAATCAAAACAATAAATAAAGTGTTGATGGTGATGTGGAAAAGTCTAGCATCCATCTGGTTCCTCAAAAAAAACCTAAATGTGGGAGCCAGGCACAGTGGCTCACACCCATAATCCCAGCTACTTGGGAGGCTGAGATCAGGAGGATTGGACTGGTGGAATGGCTCAAGTTGTGGAGTGCCTGCCTAGCAAGTGTGAGGCCATGAGTTCAAACCCCAGTGCCAGCAAAAATAGTAATAATAATAATAATAATAAAAGGTTGTGAGATCAGGAGGATCGAAGTTTGAGCTGGGCAAAAGATTTGTGAGACCCTCATCTGAAATGATAGCTGGGTGTGGAAGTGAAAAATAGGATTGCAGTCCAGGCCAGCATTAGCAAAAAGCAAGACCCTATCTCCAAAATAACTGGAGAAAAGAAGGATGGAGCACTAGCCTAGCAAGCATGAAGTGCTGAATTCAAACCCTAGAACTGCCAAAAA